GACGCAACATCCGCGGCAGCGTCTTCCGCTAGCACCTCTCAGGCCTAGCCGTGAGGAGTGGAGTAGCTGATCTACGATGTCTGGCGATTTCAGGACGTCAACGATGTCCATGTGGACAATGGCGTAGAAAGTGTCTCCCATCGGGGAGTCGACCTGCCACGAGACGCAAGCGGAGTTCTGACCGCCGTGCCTCATACTAATTGTATAGACGCGGAGGCCGTCAGACAGCTCGACTGCCAGCTTGGTGGTGGCGCCGTAGGACGAGTCCTCTCTCGCCTCGACGCGGGAGGACGAGACGGCGAAGCGCGCGCAGAGCAGCTTCCTGGCCGCCAGCGGCACGTTGCGCAGCAGCGCCTCCGACTCCCAGCGCGCGCCGACGTCCTCCCAGCTCTGCACCTCTGGGTGGCGGAGCAGCCAGCCGAGCAGCGGCCGGATGTGGATGGGCTTGAGACCGGAGGCTTCAAAGGCCGCACGCGCCACGTCGATGTCCCAGACGCTCGCCACGGGCGGCTGGCGGCGGCGAGAGGGCATGGCGAGACGGAAGAAATTCGACGCCGGCCAATTTTATTTTTTGCTTGGGTGGCCAGTATGCTGAATTTCTGAAAAAACCTGACGAGCCCCTGCGGTGCCCCGACCTACCTACCTACCTACCTACCCTACTTATGGGAAACTAAAAAGAAATCAGTGGAGGGAACATGGGGTACTATACCAACTGAAGTGATGGCTGGTGGATACTACAAGTACTCTCCTGCAACCACAGTCCTTCCTGTGACATGGCAGGCCACTCTCAAGCCCTACAAGCACCAGATCACAAGATTGGTCTTTAAAAATCTCTCTCTCTCCCAGATCACCCAGACGGGGAGGGTTGTCTTCTTCGGCTGAGGGCTAACAAGCTGCCGAGCCCAAAACACTGACGTCGTGGTTTTCCGTCTTTTTTGTAAGGCGCGAAGAGAGGAAAACCCCGACGGGAGGGCCCAAAGAAAGAAAGAAAGAAAACAGAGAACCAAGGGAGGGATGGGAGGACGGCACGCCGCCACCACACAGGGATTTTAAGCGGAGAGGGGTGTGACGAATTCATGAACGGCCGCAGTTTTCTCCTGGCAGGACGGCCCTTCTTCGAAGGCAGGACAAGACTGGACCGGCCGGAATGGGCCCGTCGGCGTCTCGAGCCGGCAGCACCCTGCCGAGCAGGCCCCCGCGCGGCTGCTTCGTCTGCGGCCAGCTGACCGACACGCTCCACCGGCTTGTCGCCTCTTTTGAGCCGCCAGTCAGCATGGCGACGCCGCCGTTCAACTTGCACGACTACAACGCCGACGAGATGCCACGGTTCGCGCAGGGCGTGCAGGTGAACGTGGCGGTGTTCGGGCCGGCCTCCACCGTGGCCGTCACCCGGCTGATGCTCCAGATTGACTTGCTGGTACGATCTCCTCTCGGGGTCTCGGCCGCGTGCTCCCCCTCGTCGCGCTTTGAATGACTTTCTTCGTGGCGCAAGGTCCCTGCAATTCCCTGGACTGAATTTTCTGGAAAAAACAACCCTGCGAAACTCCCTCCCGGTCA